TTTTGATTCCCCAGACAATGGGTCTAATAAAGCTAATCCTTGCCTTCTCCAATAAAATGAAGATACTGATGGCAAAGACACGAACAGCCGGATTGAATTTTCCATTATAGAATGTTTATCCTGGCCCTGGTCTAACTCCAACGTACACATACATATGTTTCTCCCGTGTGTTATTAACTTCGTCATACAACACGTACTTGTCAAACACGACGGAGCCTCTTCATGGGCAGTTCCCATTGGCTTGGGAAGACTCGGGACTGCCAGATCTTAATGGGTTCCCTTCATTAGCGAGTCTTCTGTGATCCCGGTTTAGTCAAGAGAAGGTCATTCGGAGGCCATCACACGTTCATCGGCTGAAATATCATTTACTATATATCAGGATCTAAACAAGTTTGGCCTTCAGGATTTGGGTAATGTAAACCATCTGGGCTTTGACAACACAGCTCATTTCCTGCCATCGCCATGCATGAGACCAGCTCCGTCATGTGACTCTCCCCACCGGCCTAATCTCGGGTATTGTCTGTACAGGGCTTTTAACTTCAAGCTGATATGTTAAAAATTAAAGGCCAATAAGTTATCTGTGTTTGAGGACTTGTAGTCACTTTTTCATGTGGAAGGTTGAAGCTGTTGAATAGTTATAACCGTTGCAATAGATAATAACACCGTGCCTACTGCGGTAATGTCAGTTCAGCTGCTAAAGTAGAACAATGGCCTCCGATTAATTACATTTATGGGGTACAGCACTAGATTATAACTACATATATAATTACAGTTCTCTCTTAGTCTCCCTGCAAAGTCCCACAAGTACCTGTCAGTGGAGTCTACCTAATGCAGCTTTCTGTGATGGGGTGGCAATTATGCTGCACTGCTCCGTAATTCAGAGCCGGGTTGTCACTCTCAGGTAGATTGTGCCTACTTGCACTACAATGGGATGAGAAAAAAATGCGGCAGGGAGTGTGGCTCTCAGCAATGTAGCTTGTCAATCAGCACCTGGCCACACCTAACCCCACCCACTGCTTTTTGGAAGCTAACTAGCTGCAGTGTCTGGGAGGGGGAGCTTGTGAGACACAAAAGAAGGAGGATTTGTCTCAGTCAGGGAAGGTGAAGGAAGTTGAGCCTTGTACGTTGCATGGTAATTGCATTTGGGACTTATTTGGGCTGCCAATATTATGATCAGGTTCTGGTGCAGTTCGTCTTGCAGGCAGATAAGCTTCCTGTAAACCCATGCACCGCAGGGCTCAGACTGGGATAGGGTGGGAAGTTGAGTCAATGAGGGCTTTATGGTTTTGCACAGTGCTGGTCAGCCCAACGCTGATGTTGTTTACAGAAGCTGAGGACCTCAGCAGTGATCTGCTGCTTGATTGTCCAATTATCAAGATGGGAGAGTGACTAAGGAAGCAGAACAGCGGCCATTTTTTCCTATACTCATCTTAACATAGGGCATAATTTGGCAAAGGGGTGGTACATGGAGAATACTTACAAAGGTAGAACCCATAGAGACAGCAGCGGCGCCGGGGTCGGTGTCACCTGGTGCAGCTGCCATGTATGCGTTATGACTTCTGTGGTGTGATGTCATCACACATGCACGGTGATGTACTTCACTGCCAGTGGCCATCTTGGTGATGGATGCCAGCAAAGAGAGGAGGGGATATTGACCCGGCAGGATCAGACATGTTGCTGAGTCCTACCCTCTCTCTCATGCTACTGTTGGGCTCTTGGTTGGTGTACGACTATTAAGAGCGGGTGACACCATAATGACTGTCAGTCATTTTGGTGTCACCCCCTCTGATGGTGCCACCTGGTGTGGCCCACACCCTCCTTGTGACACCACTGCATACAGAGGGCCTCTAACTGATGTCCTGTAGTTCTTATTTGTCTGGAGATCCAATATAAAGCCCAACTGAACTCACAGTTTAGGTCAGCTAAATACATTCTAGGTGCATAAAAATAAGTAATCACAGACTTACCTTTGGTTTAGTATATAAAGCAGCCACAGACATAGTTAAAAAGCTGGTCCATTGCCAGCCTGCTGCATAGAAGGACCCTTGCTCTCTGTGGGGAAGCAGTGGTCTCTCTGCAGAGATATGACACTCCCCTGCTGTCAAAGCCAGCGCTCTCCAACCAACAGGCAGCATGAGATTTACTGACAGGGAAGTACTAGCTCTGATTTAGTGAGGGGGGCGTGTTGGACCTCTGGGTGCTATATCAGAAAACACTTGTCATCTGAGATTAGGTCTTATTTTCCCCATGGCTCATAAAATTGTTGCAATTATTTAAATCCGACCAATAAGAGTACTTTTAGCATGTGACACTGCAATGAAATAAAATTTCATCCACAGGAAGACTGCCATTGGGTACGCACCCTCCTGACACGATTTTAAACCATCTCCTTTAACCTATTATTGGTTTGATTTCTGCATCTTCACCCAAAACAAAATCTTTAGATTATGGTGTCGTTCCTCTTGAATGGGTAACAAGTGTTCATAGTAAGAGGCAACAGAGCCTTAAAGGTTATCCCTCAGTGGCGGTTCTGTAAATCTCCGTAAAGAAACCAGCGTGGAGGAATCTGTTTGCTTCTATGTAGAAAGTCAAATAGTTTCCAGTGTTTAATTGCGCCCAGTGGCTGATTATAGAACTATTAATAGATGGAGAGGAATTTGTCAGTGAGATTTATGGGAGGCTGCATGCAGTGTGAGGTTAACACTGTGTAATCAGGAGCAAGTCTATTTTATAATAATATGTAGCTCTATGCTGTTATCAATACCAACATGATTCAGAGCAAATATGACAGACCCATGACCCTGACTTTGGAGCATTATGGCAAATGTGGCCTACTAAAAGTTTAAAGTGACACTAGACTCCGCAGTTAAATCTCAAAAATCCTTTCAAGAACCTTAAAGGGTTCTAAACCCTCCGGTTAGCGAGCAGTAGATATAGGCAAAAAGTTATTTATTTTTAAAAACCCGCTTTAGCAGCGGTTTAAACTTTCCTCGTTATCGCTGCGCGCTCCCGCGCCGAGAATCAGGAACTGCTCGTGCGGCTGCAAAGGATCTTGGGGCGGGCGCATGCGCAGTTCGGATTCTCAGGCCGGTAGATGAGCAGAGACGCAAGGTTAGTCTATGGACGCGTGCACCCGCCTGCAGACACCACTTACAGCCATAGGCACAACTTCCAGAGGCAGATACATGATGGGATTTGTACTTTCACCACAGCTGGAGGTTTGGGGTTTGCTTACCACTGCTGTAGACCTTTACTTGAGTCTGCCAGGGCTGCTGAGATCGCATGGCAAGGTGGCGGCACACAGCAGCAGTCTTAATGCTTTTTGATGTCAACACAAGAACGTTATTACAGGTAAATAACATGCATAAAAATCATGCAGTTACATATAATCCTATGTGAATAATTTTGTTGAAATGATTGGTCTGTTGACAGGGTCTTTTTAAAGTGTTACTAAACCTACGAACAATAATATAATATACTGCAGCTTGTTTGGTATGAAACAATAAGTAGTACTACTAATCACTTTTGTTCCTCTTCTTCCCTTTAGCAGACCAAAGCAAAGGAGCTCCCCTTGTCCGCAGTGAGGTTTATGGAAGAACTGGGCGAATGCACATTTGGAAAGATCTACAAAGGTCACCTGTACCTCCCGGGAATGGACCATGCTCAGCTTGTTGCCATCAAGACCTTGAAGGATTACAGCAATCCGCAACAGTGGTCGGAATTTCAGCAAGAGACCTCTCTTATGGCTGAGTTACATCACCACAACGTTGTGTGTCTTCTTGGGGTTGTAACTCAGGAGCAGCCTGTATGCATGTTGTTCGAGTACATGAACCATGGAGACCTACATGAATTCCTCATTATGAGGTCCCCCCATTCCGACGTTGGTTGCAGTAGCGATGAGGATGGCACGGTTAAATCTAGCCTCGATCATGGAGATTTTCTGCATATTGCCTTCCAGATCGCGGCTGGGATGGAGTACCTCTCAAGTCACTTCTTTGTCCATAAAGATCTAGCAGCTCGAAATATATTGGTTGGAGAACAATTGCACATTAAAATCTCTGACCTCGGACTTTCTAGAGAAATATACTCGGCTGATTATTACCGGGTCCAAAATAAATCTCTCCTTCCAATTCGATGGATGCCTCCAGAGGCAATAATGTACGGAAAATTCTCCACCGATTCAGATATTTGGTCTTACGGAGTGGTCCTATGGGAAATATTTAGCTTTGGCCTTCAGCCTTACTATGGCTTCAGCAATCAAGAAGTTATAGAGATGGTCCGGAAGAGGCAACTCCTTCCATGTTCTGAGGACTGTCCTCCTAGAATATATAGTCTGATGACAGAATGTTGGCAGGAAATTCCCTCTCGGAGACCAAGGTTTAAGGACATCCATATGAGACTAAGGTCATGGGAAGGACTTTCAAGTCACACAAGTTCAACTACTCCTTCTGGTGGTAATGCTACAACTCAGACAACGTCGCTGAGTGCCAGCCCTGTTAGCAATTTAAGCAATCAAAGATATCCAAATGTATTTTTCTCTCCCCAAGGTATGCCACAGGCCCAAATTACTGGCTTTATTGGGCCTCCTTTACCTCAAAACCAGAGATTTATACCAATCAACGGGTACCCTATCCCACCAGGATATGCTGCTTTCCCTACTGCTCACTACCAACAACCAGGGCCTCCGAGAGTCATCCAGCATTGCCCTCCTCCAAAGAGCCGCTCCCCAAGTAGTGCCAGCGGGTCGACCAGTACGGGTCACGTGACCAGCTTACCATCTTCTGGATCCACCCAAGATGCCAACATCCCTTTGCTATCCCATATGTCTATGCAAAGCCATCCAAGTAGTATAGGAGTACAGTCCTTTGGAAGCAAAGGAAACAAATCCTACAAAATGGACTCCAAACAGTCATCTTTTTTAGAAGATTCTAATATCCACGGACACGACTCAATGATTTCCGCAGAATTGTAAAACTTGCGGTGCCTTTCGTATGTACTCTACGCAGAGGAACAGACATAAAAAAAATGCGTTTTATATAAAATATTTTTTATTGAACTGAGGTCATTCCAGATGTTAAACAGACTCTTTTATTCTTTCAGGTACCTTCTGTGAAGTTTAAAAAATATAAATATACTTAACAAACGGACCTGTAACCAGATCAAAATTTGGTGACTGTGATTGGTTCATTCCTTGTGCTAGGAAGACACAATGTACAAAGTAGCTTTTGACAAATCGAGGTGGTGTTAACATGTTGAAAGTTGCCATTTTCATATTTTGTGAACATACATCAAGCTCTGCTATGAATGCATTTATGAGGAAACCAAAGATCAATATTCTAATAAAACCTAAAAGAAGAACTATAGCTGAACTGCTACAACAGCTAAAACAAATATATAGGTGCTTTCCTTCTAGAAGATAAGTTCATGAATGCACATTTTCCAACCCCCCCTGTTGCCCTACATAGCTGAATAGTACTGTATAAGAAGGAGAAAGCAGTTTTCACATTGTGTGTCCAGCTGACAACCTCCCTGTAGCCCCATCATTGCCAAAATTGGTATTTCACTTTTGGACAGGCGGTGGTTTGATCACTTAATGATCACTGAAGTTGCTTGTTCCTTTACCCCTCACACGAGGACTACTTCAATATTTAACTATTCTATATTCTATACAGCCCTTTGTTGGAGGTTGACACCATCAGGGAACTTTGCAGTGGCCCTGGTAGTTGGGCACTGGGCAGAACTGGGAATTCTGTTGCAGGCAGGGACGGATTTACTCTCTCTGCTGCCCCAAGGCCAGGTTCCTTAATGCGCCCCCCTCCTTGCCAGTAGAAAAAAAACTACCCGCCTGCCTCCCGAAACTGCATGTCCCGGGCGTCGGGCGATAGGAATTCTACACCCCTGCCATACCTCTACTCCCTGCTGCCCCAAGGCCGGGCCTCAGTGGCCTTGTGGGAAATACAGTCCTGGTTGCAGGTATCTCAATACAGATGTTCACTAGTGATAAATAAATGCAACATGTGATTCAGCTCACCAGCAACCACACAAAACAGATATTTTAGATTTATTTTGTGGGCGGCCTTTAAAGCCCAAACCTCAGCCCAAACTTTTCATTTTGTTTTGTATAGATTCGGGGAAGGCTTAGGGCCTGCAGTGGTTTTTAATTTTAATTACCTATGTCTCTAATAGGGGAGATTTCTCCTAATGCTGGCCATACTAATGCTTGAAGAAAAGCCAATAAACAATGACTGTTTCTGCCAGGGCTGCTGCACCCCCCCCCCCCAAAATCTTGGGAGCAAATTTTTTATTTGGAAGATGCAGAATAACCAGAGAAACAAGAGATGGAAACCCTCATATCAGATGTATAAGTGTGAGGTATAGTGTGAAACATGAATATATATTGATATACCTTCTCATTGTACGGCAGAGGCAAAGTATCTCTTTCATTTAGTTTGTGTATACTGAACCAAAGGTTTAATGAATGCCCTTAACATTGCGCCCCATGCACACCCAATTCATTTAGATATACAGGTGAAACTCGAATAATCAGAATATCGTGCAAAGTGCATTTATTTCACTAATGCAACTTAAAAGGTGAAACTAATATATGAGAGAGACTCATTACATGCAAAGCAAGATAGTTCAAGCCGTGATTTGTCATAATTGTGATGATTATGGCTTACAGCTCATGAAAACCCCAAGAACCCCAAATCCACAACTTCAAAAAAGTAGATTATTACATGCAATCAATAAAACAAGGATTGTACATAGAACAATATCGGACCTCTGAAAAGTACAAGCATGCATATGTACTCAGTACTTGGTTTGGGCCCCTTTTGCAGCACTTACTGCAATTACTTTTGCACGATATTCTAATTATTCGAGTTTCACCTGTAGTGCCCATAGTGCCCATCTGAACTCCTTAGGCAAACTCTGCAAACAGTTCATGCCCTAGTAATGAAAACTGATCTTTAGACCATTTTTTTCTGCTCTATCTTGACCTCACCATACACATTACAATATGACTGTACAATTTTCATACACTCTACTTTAGACTTACCAGAGCTATAGAATATGAGGATCTACCTAAACTATCCATTCAATTCGTATCCAATCAAGCAGGCCCTTGTACTACATAGTTCTTGTTTACCTAAGTGAAAATGTTCAAATTGGGCCAAATCACACATTTTCCCTCCCCGGTGTCATGTGACTCCTGGCTGTCAATCAGCCAGCTAGTTGGATCTCAAAAGCATTGTCGGGATCCGTTGCGGCTGTGGCGATCTCGGTATACCGCGAGCTGTCGCTCCTGATATACTGAGCTTTGGGTCACGGGAGGATGCTAGTATATATAAGAGAACTATGGGGGAAAACACTTACCCCATAGTTCTCTTTTAATGAAAAGCTGCCTCTGTTTTACCATTCTCATGATCACTACATAGTTTTAACCACACCTATTATGCCATGCCCACTTAAATAAGCCAATCCCCCCTAATTTAGGTTTCCCTGGTCCAAAAGGTGGAACCTCTAGACACCTGCGAGACTGTACAGTAGAAATCTAAGACGAGGGAGACTAATAGGCAATTTTGTTCTATTAGAAAAGTTCTGTAACACCCAATATCCAGAAATGAGCCCTATAGTTGGTACCTGCATTTTTTTAGCATTGTTTGGCAGAAAATATATTGATTGACATCCAGTTTTGGTCTACCATAACCCCAAAGACTTGCTTGTGATACAAATGTTGCTTGGTATATTTAAAGTGATACTTGCCATG